GTCCATTTTCAGAGGCCACCAGAAGAAAATCGGTACTTGTATAATTGTGAGATGTTTTAAAAAGTCACTGGGCCGCAGATGAACAAGTTTGAATGCCCAATTGAATTTATACAAGTACCCGAAGCCGTCCAAGACACTTTGAAAACGGTCACTTGGATCACGGAGTCGGTTGCATTTGCGGCTAAGTCCATTTTCAGAGGCCACCAGAAGAAAATCGGTACTTGTATAAATTGTGAGATGTTTTTAAAAAGTTACTAGGGCCGCAGTTGAACGCATTTGAATGCCCATTGTAATTTATACAAGTACCCGAAGCCGTCCAAGACGCTTTGAAAACGGTCACTTGGACCACGGAGTCGGTTGCATTTGCGTATAAGTCCATTTTCAGAAGCCACCAAAAGAAAATCGGTACTTGTATACATTGTGAGATGTTTTCAAAAGGTTACTAGGGCCGCAGATGAACAAGTTTGAATGCCCAATTGAATTTATACAAGTACCCGAAGCCGTCCAAGACACTTTGAAAACGGTCACTTGGACCACGGAGTCGGTTGCATTTGCGGCTAAGTCCATTTTCAGAGGCCACCAGAAGAAAATCGGTACTTGTATAAATTGTGAGACGTTTTTAAAAAGTCACTGGGGCCGCAGTTGAACGCATTTGAATGCCCATTGTAATTTATACAAGTACACGAAGCCGTCCAAGACGCTTTGAAAACGGTCACTTGGACCACGGAGTCGGTTGCATTTGCGTATAAGTCCATTTTCAGAAGCCACCAAAAGTAAATCGGTACTTGTATAAATTGTGAGATGTTTTCAAAAGGTTACTAGGGCCGCAGATGAACAAGTTTGAATGCCCAATTGAATTTATACAAGTACCCGAAGCCGTCCAAGACACTTTGAAAACGGTAACTTGGATCACGGAGTCGGTTGCATTTGCGGCTAAGTCCATTTTCAGAGGCCACCAGAAGAAAATCGGTACTTGTATAAATTGTGAGATGTTTTAAAAAAGTCACTGGGGCCGCAGATGAACAAGTTTGAATGCCCATTGTAATTTATACAAGTACCCGAAGCCGTCCAAGACGCTTTGAAAACGGTCACTTGGACCACGGAGTCGGTTGCATTTGCGGCTAAGTCCATTTTCAGAGGCCACCAAAAGAAAATCGGTACTTGTATAAATTGTGAGACGTTTTTAAAAAGTTACTGGGGCCGCAGTTGAACGCATTTGAATGCCCATTGTAATTTATACAAGTACCCGAAGCCGTCTAAGACACTTTGAAAACGGTCCCTCAGCTCATAGATTCATCGGCTTTTGCGGCTAAGTCCATTTTCAGAGGTTACCAGAAGAAAATCGGTACTTGTTTTAACTGTGGGATGTTTTCAAAGAGTCACTGGGGCCGCTGATGAACACGTTTGAACCCCCATTTTCTTTTTTTTTGACTGCCAAAGAGCAAAATTTTCTGGCCGCAAAAAATTTCTAAGTCCAGAGTCATATAAATTTTTAAAATTTGCTTCCGCCATCTTTTGACATGTTGTTCCTGACGTCATGAGAGGCATTTCTATATGACTGCCAAAGAAAGAAATTTTCCTGACCGCAAAAATTTTTTAAGTCCAGATTCATGTAAAATTTTGAAAATTTGCCTCCGCTATCTCTTGATATGTTGTTCCTGACGTCATGGGACGCATTTTTATAGCACCCAAAAAAAAAGGCAAAATTTTTCCTGGCCGGGAAAATTTTTCCCTGGCCAACTTTACCCCGGGTGAAAAAACAATAACGTCTTTTAAACGGCATGATAGAAAGTCACCCCAAAAAATCGGCGTAAACTGAAAACTTCACCCCAAATTTTTTTGCGTAAATTTTCTTGTTATGCCGCTTTTTGGCGTAAACTTGTTTCAGAAAACGCTTTTGTCATTCAGGCCGAATGAGGGCGTGAATCATATGTCACCCCGGGTTTTTCGGCGTAAATTTTGTGTCACGCCAATTTTGGGCGTAACTTTTTGTCACTCCATAATTTTGGCCATGTGTCCGACCATAACGCTTTCAGTGAGAGATTTTTTAAAAATAGCATTGAAAAAAGTGTGTGCACGCACCCCCCTGGGGGCCTCATGCAACTCAGCCTGAAGGCGTCCTGCCATGGCACGATGATCTACGCACAGGAGCGAACATCCAAAGACCGAGACGAGGAAAGGGGCAACGCGAAAGAGGATCCACGCACCGGGGGTGCGTCGTTTACCTGGTTTGAAATTTTTTTAAAAATTTTTCTCAGAGCCGCAGCACTCCACGCATTCACTGATTCAGGGCCCCAAAACGTCCAGGTCCGTGTTTACAAAAGGATACCTCGCAGGATCCCAGGCAACGGCTAGTCCCCGGCGGTAGTATTGTTGCCAGGGAGGGAGAAGGGAGGGGGGTCGCGGCTGCCCCCCACTGCCTCCTCGCTGGGGCCCCCCAGGGGTGGGGTTTCGGTGCATATGGCACACTGCTAATCCAAGTGTGGACAAAGTCCCCCGTTCCTTGCGTGGATCCTTGAGCCAAAATAGCCAAAATAAGCGCAGGCCAGACGGCTAGACAACTGAGCTTGCGCTTGCAAACCTTCGGTGGGTGACTCCATTCGCAGCAAGTCGTTCTGTCGCTGTTTCTCTCACTTCCTTGAGCGCCTATGACAGAGAGACTGCGATACATTCCGCCTGAATTTAGGCAAAAAGAGTGGCGTTCATAATTTCTGCGCACGCTAATGCGAAGCGCGGAGCCTTCCTGCTGACGTGGAAACCACGAGCCGCACCGTTTTGAATTTGGATTAGCTTGGCCCTCGCGCGCGCCACGAGACATCATTATGCGCATTCGAAAACGTTCCGCAAGCAGCCGCCGCTGCGCCGGCTAGCCTAGCCCGGGCACGCTGACTACAAGGCACCCGAAGTGACAGGTTCGACACCAGCCGGCGGTAATGTTTTTTTCAGCACCGAAATGCAAACTAGGTGTACTCAAAGACAGGTCATGGTCTCAGGATAACATTACTACCGCGTTACGGGAGTTGCGCAGTGGTCTGTGGCCAACCTCCTGATTTTCGGGCAGGCCCTCACCCCACACTTAT